AGAGTTTGAAGAGATATCCAATGAGATACGACAAATTATACTTGCGTTGATTGGTATTCATCAATACCGAACTGTTAATCGCGAATACGTACAATACTTTCACACATTTTTTTCGCAAAGAACGATATACGAAATGTAATATTTCGCGCCTCGCGTTTCACTCATGCAGCCATCTTTCTTTGCTGTTTAGTATCGCCATCTGCATTCGCGTTATACGCCAGAATTACGTAGTCCAGATACTTCGACTGCCGGTAAAGTAATCATTTTGTGCATGTCGGTAAATTGTTAGAATCGCGTCGCGCAAGCATGATTTTTTTATTTGTAACATAACAAAATATGTAATTAAAAGTTCATATAAAACACGTGTTTTTAATCAAATTACATATACTTATTCTGTTACTCTAATACTTGTACGTTAACAGATTTAAGTTACACACATTGCATAAAGCTTCCAGAGAAAAATATCCAGAGGCACAAATATTTTATTATTTAAACGAAAATCATGCGAAGATGAAACAATAGATTAAAGAAGCCGTATAATCATTGTACTTTTATGTATAAACGTTTCACAAAATAAAATCTTTATAAATGAAGTGTTACATTAAAAATATTAGTATAAAATTAATTATCCATGTGAGATTTAAAATTTCTTGTCCTTTTTTTTCTTTAGAATTTTTTTATTTTTTTTTTCTAAAGATTCTTTAAGCGAGAACTGCTTCTTTCACAAGACTATTGAACAATTTGAATATTTGATATTTTTTTAGTAGTTTAAATTTCGTGAAAAAATTCGAGAGAAAATTAGATTTTACCGTATTACTGCACATATCGATTAAATGCTATATCAAATATGTAGTGTAAATATTTTAATTTTTTTGTATACGATCTATTTTTTATTCTATCGATGTTTTCATAGTAATGCACCTTGAGCACTTTGCTTCATATGTTTGCACTAAAAATATATTAAAGCAAATTATTTTGCACATTTATTATTCTAATTTTTATATAGAAAGACTAAGATTAAAAAATACGTATGAATTTTTTCAGATATTTCTGTTGAAAAAAACGCATCAGATAAAACTGACTTTCCTGTACATTTTAAATGTGCCAAAAGATTTGCTCTTTATTCCATTTACTGCAATAATGTACACTAAAAATGACAGCTCTATATTAAAAATGATAGATCTATGTTTAGTAGTTGGAAAGAGAGGAGAAATGAAAAGTGCATCTAGAGAATTTAAAAGAATAAAAATTTAAAAATAATACATAAAGATTAATATTATGTATTTTTTTCATGAGGAATGTGGGGCGCACATTTATGCATTTATTTATTTAGATGAGGTTTACTTTAGAGCACATTCAGTATTCAACTTTAATTTTATTTTCTCTTTCTTATGATATATAAGTATAACATAATTACTTGCAAATGCTATCATTTTTGTGTGCTTACAGTGATACAGAAACAACATTACGAGTACTATATTTACAGATAACATCTGTATAATAAAAAAAGCACCAGTCTAATGGTGAAAAAAGGGTAAATATTTTAGACCAGCATAAGTATCAACCAATTCTTTCACCGCTCTGTTTCATTAGAGTTGCAATTTTCTTTTATAATATCATAAATATTATAAATAAGATAGAGATTTCCATACGTTTCAAATAAATTTATATATTTTATGTATGTAATACTGCGCACACATATTAAAAGGTGATAATATCGCAGTTATAGTAAGATACAATCCTGGCAATGTAGCGATTTTTGGATTCTGAAAATAATTTAATTTGATTTATTTTTGAGAAATGCGCACAATACTTTAGAACAAATTATTTTTGTGCCATGTATTACCTGTGTAAAATTCCACAAACAGTATCATATTGTCTGCGATATATGAAAAGCTTCATCGATGAAATAAATGGTTGAATATGATTGAGATATAAGAAAAGTACTTGTAATGTAGTAATATAGTACTTGTAATGAATAACGTTATTGTGGAATACATAAATATTTTATATTTTAATTTTATGTAATCGAGATGAAATAAGACACTCTTGATTACTTAAAAAATGTGTCCACAAATATCATGTAACTTCAACAGCTGCACGTTCGTCAAATTAATCTTATTACGTTAAATGAATCACAGCAGCTTTTTTTAATTTAATCTAACCTAACCAATTATATTATATGCTCCTCATTAAAATGTGTAAAACTGTACGTCGCACATTTAAAACGATTAATATACTACGTAATAAAATGTAATACGTTAATGAAATAATTAAATATTATTTTTGAAAGCATACATCATCATACAATTCAGGCAGCATACGCTTGTATTTACATTCGATATGCAGACACTGAGAGATTAGGTTAGGTTAGGTTAGGTTAAGTTAGGTTAGATCAAACAAATTTATCGTTTAACTGTTGGCAGCCCTACGAGATAGGCTGTGCAGCACTGCGCGCGCGTATACAAAATAAATTTGAAATCGCTTCTAGCATAACCGTCTTCACGCGACCGACTTTATTTGAATTGCACGGCATCGCATCGAATTATGATGCTGCGCCGATTTGTTCGAACGTAATTCGGAACATCGCGATGCCGTATAAGCGTCGAATGAGCACGAATTATCACGCAAATATGATAAATCAAATCTACTCACCGTTCACCGGCTGTTTTACAGGCCGCTCCACTCGCTCGCCTCGAGACGTCCCATTCCGATCTTGATGCACACGATATCATCAACGCGAACGCGCGACACTTTATTCGGCACTTCCGATATTCGCTCGCATCCGGTAATCACCATCAAGGGCGCAAATAATGCGACGCGACTTCGCTCCATCTTCGCGATCGCGCTATCACTGAATTGTCGAAAACGGCTGTCGCGCACTTTCACTGACATATTATGAAAGTCGCGCGATCATCCTTGGACACTTTGGACGCTCTTTCACTCGCGATATTCGTTTAAAAACGGTTAAAAGACGCGAAAAATGCGGACGTTCGACGATCCGTGTAACTGCGTATGACTCCGAGTCACGCGCCAACATGGCGGCCGTATGACGCGTTTGACGTAGCAGTGACGTTGCAGTGACGTCGCAGGCACGCGCCAACATGGCGGCCGAACCAGTGCGCACTGGTTCGGCCGCCATGTTGGCGCGTGCCTGCGACGTCACTGCAACGTCACTGCTACGTCAAACGCGTCATACGGCCGCCATGTTGGCGCGTGAATCGGAGTCATACGCAGTTACACGGATCGTCGTACGTCCGCATTTTTCGCGTCTTTTAACCGTTTTTAAACGAATATCGCGAGTGAACGAGCGTCGAGAGTGTCGAAGGATGATCGCGCGACTTTTATAGTGTGTCGATGGAAACGCGCGACAGCGATTTTTGACGATATTCAGTGATGGCGTCATCGCGAAGATGGAGCGAAGTTGCGTCGCGTTATTCGCGCTCTTGATGATGATTATCAGATGCGAGCGAGTATCGGGAGTGCCGAATAAAGTGTCGCGCGTTCGCGTTGATGATATCGTGTGAGTTTGTGCGCATAAAGATCGGAATTGGATGTCCCGAGGCGAGCGAGTGGAGCGGCCTGTGGAATAGCCGGTAAACGGTGAGTAGATTTGATTTATCACATTTGCGTGACAATTCGTGCTCATTCGACGCTTATACAGCATTGCGATGTCCCGAATTACGTTCGAACAAATCGGCACCGCATCATAATTCGATGCGATGCCGTGCAATTCAAATAAAGTCGATCGCGTGAAGATGGTTAGCTAGAAGCGATTTCAAATTTATTTTATATACGCGCAGTGCTGCACAGTCTATCTCGTAGGGCTGCCAACTGTTAAACGATAAATTTTTTCGATCTAACATTACCTAACCTAACCTCTCAATGTCTTTGGACGTCGAATATAAACACAAGCATATGCTGCCTGGATTTTATCATGCTTTCAAAAATAATATTTAATTATTTCATTAGTGTATTACATTTTATTACGTAGTATATTAATCGTATTAAATGTGCGACGTACAGTTTTACACATTTTAATGAGAAGCATATAATATAATTGGTTAGGTTAGATTAAATTAAAACAAGCTGCTGTGATTTAACGTAATAGGATTAATTTGACGAATGTGCAGCTATTGAAGTTACATGATATTTGTGGACACATTTTTAAAATAATCATGAGTGTCTTATCTCATCTTGATTATACGAAATTAAAATATAAAATATTTATGTATTCCACATTAAGGTTATTCATTACAAGTACTATATTACTTTTCTTATCATCATATTCTCAATGATATTTCATCGATGAAGCTTTTCATATATCGCAGACAATATGATACTGTGTGTGGAATTTTACACAAGTAATACGTGGCACAAAAATAATTTGTTCTCAAGTATTGTGCGCATTTCTCAAAAATAAATCAAATTAAATTATTTTAAGAAGGATCCAAAAATCACTGCATTGTCAGGATTGTATCTTATTATAACTGCGATATTATCACCTTTTAATATGTGTGCGCAGTATTACATACATAAAATATATAAATTTATTTGAAACGTATAGAAATCTTTTTCTTATTTATAATATTTATGATATTATAAAAGAAAATTGCAACTCTAATGAAACAGAGCAATGGAATAATTGGTTGATACTTATACTGGTCTAAAATATTTACCCTTTTTTCACCATTAGACTTTGGTACTTTTTTTATTATACAGATGTTATCTGTAAATATAGTACTTGTAATGTTGCTTCTGTATCACTGTAAGCACACAAAAATGATAGCATTTGCAAGTAATTATGTTATACTTATATATCGTAAGAAAGAGAAAATAAAATTAAAGTTGAATACTGAATGTGCTCTAAAGTAAATCTCATCTAAATAAATAAATGCATAAATGTGCGCCCCACATTCCTCATGAAAAAAATACATAATATTAATCTTTATGTATTATTATTTTTAGATTTTTATTCTTTTAAATTCTCTAGATACACTTTTCATTTCTCCTCTCTTTCTTTCCAACTACTAAACATAGATTTATCATTTTTAATATAGAGCTGTCATTTTTAGTGTACATTATTGCAGTAAGTGGAATAAAGAGCAAATCTTTTGGCACATTTAAAATGTACAGGAAAGTTTTGTCTGATGCGTTTTTTCCAATAGAATTATCTGAAAAAAATGCATACGTCTTTTTTAATCTTAGTCTTTCTAAATAAAAATTAGAATAATAAATTTGCAAAATAATTTGCTTTAATATATTTTTATTGCAAACATATGAAGCAAAGTGCTCAAGGTGCATCACTATGAAAACATCGATAGAATAAAAAATAGATCGCATACAAAAAAATTAAAATATTTACATTACATATTTGATATTTCTGCAAATATTTCCATTATTTTGAGATTGATTTGTTTCATGATATATTGCAATAATTAAAGTATGATTTCTGATATAATCTGCCATGAGACTGCAGAGAAAGCCAGCTTTAATTCTTTATTTTGTTCAATATTTTTAATAATATAATAATTAAATTAAAGTTCTATGAAAATATGCTTGAAATACTAAATAAAAAAGATTGTTTCTTATGCACAACCTTATACAGTTTAAGTAAACAAAAAATTATTGTTAATAATATACGTATATAAATTGATAATTAAATAAAACAATTAATTAATTAATCGACACAATCCACGTTTTTTTTAGCTTTGTGTCTAACATATATATATATATATATATATATATATATATATATATGTATATATATTTTTATAAATAAAAAATGTTTCTTTCTAATATAAATTAAATAAAAAGTGTATGCCTTTAAATACTTTATATACATACTGTTGCAATAAACCAATAAAGAATGCTTTTACATTCCTCCTTGTACTTTGGCATACATATCCTTTATGCCAATTATCTCGCAACACGCTTTTATCGCATGATGACAAACAAGCCCATTATCCTTCATGAATTTTCTTTACAAATATTTTTATATTCTCAAACTGTGTAAAGAAATCATGTAACACTGAAAAAATACAAAGTGATATTAAAAGAGGAGAAATAAATTTTATATTTATATAGTATTGACAATTATTTTCTTACCAGTGTATTCCTTATATGTAGGAATATACATTATCTTTGACCAGCCCTATTTTTAATCGTTTAGGGATGCTTTGGCTTTTGATAACGCAAATCCAGCCTTCCATTTCCATTTCCCAGTTACTATAAATGAACTGATTCTAGTCTTACGTGCTAAATTACGGTCATACAAGTTATCATTTTGTTTTCCAAAATCCAGGTTTCAAAACTTTCAAATGTATCTACAGAAAAAAAAGATATTAATTATATAAGATTCTAATATTTAGAACTGAAACATAAAAAAAAATTGAAAATAGACATCGTATCACATGATTTTTGTATGTGTGTGATTTAACCATTATAATCCAATAATAGCATAAATATTAACCTTTTCCAATAAGATCCGATTCAATGCTTCTGCCATCCATTGTAACACTCCTCCAACCACATTCCAATGGCGATAATTTTATTTGCATTGGTCTGGTCTGACTTTGTGGTAATTCATAAGTTTTTGCTTTCTTTCAAGATTTACAAGCAGTTTTGCTGTTGAATTAATTCTTTTCCTCTAAACACAGGAGTGTTTAGACCAGGAAATTGTCGGAATTGTATTTTTCCCATGCCAATAATTTGCTCCTTATTTAGGAGGCTTTCTCTTTTCACTATTCTTCTTGCTGTATCTCTGCGTCTTCCTGCATTACTGATACTTGTCACACCTTTCATAATTCATCTTCAGGTCTATAGAACAAAAGCACAGTGAAATACAAACTATTTTCTACTGTAAATATAAACTATTATCAAAATGCTATATCCATAAAAGTTCTACTTACTTCGCAAAAAATAAGAGTTTCTCACATTATTTAATAAAGTGACTATTTTTAATAAATGAATGACTGACAAGCAATAAATTAAACAATATTAAACAATAAATATACCTGAAAAAAATTTCATAATTTATTGGATTAAATTGATAAATTAATTTTAAATACATTATATGTTAATTACATATAATATTTAGAGACAATGATATATTTCATTTGCGTTACCATGTTTATAGATTGAACATTTTTTATCAAATTATTTACAACTCTAAATATGTAGCATACGACAAGCCATTTTTAAAATCTATAAAACAAACAACAAAGTTGTTCATAGTTTTCACTCTTTTTTGTCTTAG